AACAATAATAATATTAATAGGGTGTAGTTGCTCGCTTGTTGTTAACAAAAAACCATTCCAAAAATCCCAATAAAAAACATTTTAAATGAAAAAAAAATAATGTTTGGCTACTTTCAACCCTTCTCTAACCCCCCACAACAACAAAAACCATCAATGAATCACTTTTGATTTTCATTTTTTCTTGGTTCCAGAAGAATCAATCACAAACCAGTGAACAAAAAAAATGATGCTATTATTATAATGACAATATGTGATAACCAGAAAAAAAAGATGAAATTTTTTTTCAAAGACATTCACCAAAAATCAATATTTTCACCAACTATAATATATAGCCATTCAAAAATCTTAACTTTTTTTTTCGCTTGTTTTGTTTGTTTTTTTGTTTTCACTCAACAAACAGTGAAAGAAAAAAAAAATTGATATAGATAAATGGATGTCAGAAGAATTTAAATTTTTTTTTTCTTCTTCTTTTTTGAAATAAAAATTCATCCATCCACATGCACACACACACACACACACACAGAATATATTGACCTAAAATCTTTTCAGAATAAACGAAAAGCCAGCAAAACAAATTCAGGAAATGAACTAGATTTACATTTTTAAAAAAAAAAATTGTTTTACCATAATCAAGTCACTACAATGGAAAAAAAAATCTCTAACTGTTCATATTCACAACCGGAAAAAAAGAAAGTTAAACAATGGTGGATACAGAATAATGTTTTTTTTTTTCTTTTTTTCAAAACAACAATTTTATTAATTGAATAAAATTTTTTCAATCAAAATTTGGTTTTGTCATTTAGATTGGAAAAAAACTGAAAAAACTCAAGCAAAAATCCAGTAAAATGAATTTGTTTCTGTTTTATCTGAAAGTAATGAATAAGTAATCGAATTGGAAAATGAGAGAGAGAGAAAAAAAACAGAATGAAACAAACCAATCAACAAACAAACAGAATCAGAATCAGAATCAGAATCTTCAAAACTTTTTTGTTTGTTTGTTTGTTTTTTTTTTAATTCAATTATCATTACAAACATATCAACAATTATATACAATCGACAACATTGGAGTTGAAAGAGTACAATTTGAAGTGAAAAGAAAATTTAGAAAATCAATTTTTTTTGCTTGTTTGCTTCAAACAACTTCAACACTTGTGTGCGAGATAATATGAATTAATGAAAAACAGAACATGGTTTTTTCTTTTTTCTTGGAACAAATTTTGCCAATAACAGATCCAAGATGTTGCACACTGACAAGATTTTTCTTTTTTTTTGTTGTTGAAATTTTTCATGAAATTTTCATTAATATTTTTTTTTGTTCATCACATACTGACGGAAAAATGTTTCATATCATCATGATGGTCATGATGATGATTTGAAATTGTTATCATGTTTTGTTTTTTTTCGTCTAAAAAGAAGAAAATATTATGACTGTCATTATGATGATTGAAATATTTTTACTTAATTGAATTTTTTTTTCTTTGGTTTTCTTTTTCTGGGTCGTTTTTAGTTGACTTTTTGGAAAAATAATCAACAAAGCGCATGATTTGAATTGCATTTGGATGGATTGAAATGGAAAGCAAAACAGAAAAGAATTTTTTTTGAATTTTATTTTTTATTAATTGATTTTGGTTTGGTTTGGTTTTTTTCAATGAAAATTTTTCAATTAAAATCTATTTTTGTTTCAGGTAAATTGTCAATCATTTTAAAAGAAAAAAAATTCAAAAAAAAACCGAGTTAACAATAAGGAAAAAAATTAAGTGTATCCAAATTGTCAAATTGTCAATTGATGATGATGATGAAAACATTTTTTTTTCAAGAAATGCATACAGGAAAAAAAAGAGAATTTGGTAAAGAATTTCATTTTTGTTTTTGTTGTTGTTGTTGTTATGAAGTGTTAATGATGATGATGATAATGTTTATTCGTAAGCAAAATAAAAAATCAAATGATGATGATGATAGAGAGCGAGATGATGATGATGAAAAATGAATGAATGAATGTTTCATGTTAGTTGAATGATGAGGACAAATAATGCAAATGTTTGGATGTCATAATATTGATGATGATAATGATAATGATGATGATGAAAGACTTGAATAAAATGAAAAAAAAAAGAATTTATAAAAGTAGTTGATTGAGAAAGAGAGAAAGAAAAAAAAATCCATTCAAAACCAGGCCTTCAGGGTATTTTGAATAATAATGGCTGTCAATAAAACGAAGATGACAATAACAACAATGACAATGACAACAATAACGAACCAGAATCTGAATCATTTTTTTTATTGTTGTTGTTGTTGTTTTGTGTCTGTCAAATCAAAAAATATAATAATAATAATAATATTTGAGTGGAATCAAATATGTAATGGATATTGACAATTATGTGTGTGTGTGTATGGGATGGGGTGTTTTACAATCCCCCCATTAACCCCTGCTCCACAAAAAAAAAACACTGAATATAAGAATATTCTATTGTGGTTGTTTTTTGTTGTTGTTGTGGCTGTGGCTGTTTTGTTGTTGTTATTTTTTATTATTATTATTATCATTATATCCATTATTGGTCGTAAAGTTTTTCTTCTTCTTCTTCTTCATCACTTTCTTTTTTTGTTTTTTGTTTCACATAATACATTAAATGATATTGTTGAATAATAGAGACAATTATAGTATTAGTAGGAAGAAGAAGAAGAAGAAGTATAAAACTAAACCCAAAAAATGTCTTATTTTTATTCAATTTCTTTAAGAAGTTTTTTTTCTTTTCTCAAGTTAAAGAAATTGAATTCGATGAAGAAAAAAAAAGTGTATATTGGGTCGCAATAGTTTGTGTGTGTGTGTCTTTGTTTGTCGAAGTTGTCGAAGACAATTCAGGTTCGATCCAATCGATCCATGTCATCATCATCATCATCATTTTTATTGTTATTGCTGCTGTTGTCTTTGGTCGGAAATTCATTCATCCGATCAACTTTTTTTGTTGTTGTTGTTTTGTTTCTTTGAAACTATACTTGGCCTGTGTGTGTGTGTGGGCCGATAGAATTTCATGTCAATGAAAGAAAGGAAGCCAAAAGAGAGAGAGAGAGAGAGAGAGAGAGAGAGAGAGAGAGAGAGTGAATGAAAAAAACTGAAAGAAGAAAAAATGAAGAATGAATCTTTATGCTCACTTTTAACCAATTTTTATTTTTNATATGTCTTTAAATAAAAAAAGAGAGAGAGAGAGAGAGAGAGAGAGAGAGAGAGAGAGAGAGAATGAAAAAAACTGAAAGAAGAAAAAATGAAGAATGAATCTTTATGCTCACTTTTAACCAATTTTTATTTTTATTTTATTTTTTGGTTCACTATAGTGGGGCGGAGAGGGTAATCTTTTTAGTTTTTTTTTGCGAGATGAATGAATTTGATGCTAAAACAAAATTTGAAAGATTTTTTTTTCTTCTTTTCAAAACTATAAACAACTTTTATGTTAGGATATTTTATATTTTTTTGAAGTTTTTATTATTATTATTATAAGTATGTGACCATCAATTTTGTTTTTTTGCTCCAGTTCAAATAATGAATGAAAAACGGTTTTTATGCTAAGAAAGAAAAAGAAAATAATAACATGAATCTATTGATGGGTCATTGATGATGATACTCACTGAAACATCTCATCATTGAATATTATGATTATGATTATTATGGAAAAAAATCATTAGAATGACTAACTTTACCAAGCAGAAACAAGGAAAAATAAAATGTCCATTGTATTTGAATTGATTCGATTTGATTTCTTTTCTTTTCTTTTCGGTTTTTTTTCAAACCATTTACAAGAAAGCGAATGAATGAACGAACAAATTCTTGTTTTGTTTTTGTTTCTCATCGACACAAAATGATAAATGTATTATATCATTACACACAAACACATAGAAAAACAACATAAAAACCTAAATAACATTTTTTTTACAAACATAAGAATTGAGTAGAAATTCTATTCTTTTCTCTCTCACTCATTTTCTGTTCTGTTTTCATTTATAAAATGATTTTTATTTTTTGGCGCTTATTTAATCAAATCTAATTTATATATTTACAGGAAAGTGAAACAACAACAGCAAAACATTTTTGTTTTCTTCTTCGTCTTCAATATAAGATGATATGATTATTATGATTATTATTGGTGAAAACAAAAAAAAATTCTGTTTTTTTTTCGCTGGCAAAAGCATTCAAAAAAGCAAAACGAAAAATTCGAATCCAGATTCAAAGATTTTAAGTGTGGTACCACAATCAATCAAACGTTTGAACGTTTTTTTTTCTTCTCATTTTGCTTTTTGCCTTTTTCGCTCACAATTCCGTTCACATAAACACACACACCGAAAAACGACCAGAATAAAACCAGATCAGGCCAAAAAAAGAAAAAAAATCTTTATATTAATGTCAAACTTTTCTCCTTTTCTCTCTCTCTCTCTGCCCTGTATTTTGAATGTCTAAATCATTTCATGGAATGAATAAAAAGATTGTCAATATGTTTGATTGTAAAACACGGGGGTTGGTTGGTTGGTTTTTGGTTGGTTGGTTGGAGCATCGATATTTATACTCAATCATCCCTTTCAGTTTTTCTCTTTGGTTCATTCTTCCTTTTGGCTTTTTTCATTTCATTTCATTCACACACACACACACACACACACTTATCTGAAACTGTTTAAGGTTAAACTTGAATGAATTTTTTTTTTGGTTCTTGTCCTAACATGGATTGATGTTATTGGCCTTGTTTTCTTTCTTTCTTTCTTTGAAAGTTTAAGAAGAAACTTATTTGAGTAAAAAAAAGAAAATGTATAAGAATTTATGTTGATTCAGCAATATGATTTGTCGATAAATGATGATCGTTGTTATCGTCATCATCGTCAATATTACAATCAACATTTTTAGTTTTATCATCATGATCACCATCGTTGCTTTTGTTGTTGTCATCATCACCAAATTGTAGAATATTTAGATTTTTGTTGTTGTTGTTGTTGTTGTTGTTGTAAATGTTATTGTTGTCATTATTATTATCGATTATATTTGAATCACATCTGTTTGACTTGTCAACAATAATATCGATAATATTTGTTTTATTTGAATCATTGTTATTATTATTATTATTATCATCATCATCATTTTTTCTATAATCTTGATATATATTGCCTGATTGATTTTGTATATTTGATTGATCACCATTAGCTTTCAATTGTTGATCAACAATATTATTATTATTTGTTGTTGTTGTCGCTGTTGTCACACAATCAACACAAGATTCAGCTATTAAACTCTGATTATTCATACTATTACTATTAGAAAAATTATTCATCTGTGTTGATCCATCTTCGGATTGTGATTCTTCAATTGTTTGTAATTTTTCTCGTACCAATGCCATTGATGCTGCTTGTTGTTGTTGATTATTTGGCACTGTTGGTGGTATGGTTGGTGGATGACAACCATAACTACTAATCGGTGTTGCATAACAAGGATCAGTTGAATCAAATAGATATGCATTATGACAAACTAAATGTGGTGCAAATGCAGCAAATGATGCAAATTCATTTGAATAAACATCACCAACTGTAGGCATTGTTGTTGCCGTATTTCCGGCTAATATATTTGGTTTTTCACTTGTATTAACACCACCAGCAGCAGCAACAGCAGCATTAACAACACCAGTACCCGTTGCTGAACATGGTGGAAGAACACTCATTTCAGCAATAACTGGTCTTCCATTGGCTGTTGTTGCCAGATAGAAATCACTATCTGATTGATATTGATGTATATGATTACGCCATGCACCTTATGATGAAAAAAAATGAAAAATGGAAAAAAAATGATAACATTTAAATTATTGTTTCATTATTGAATTATTAACTAAAAAAAACATACCAATACGACGAAAACATGGTTTAAAAATAAATATAATAATCAAACCGGGTACTAAAAAATATAAAACATATTCAAAAAAATTTGCAACATTTGATGAACCTTCATGATATGATGAACGATCATGTGGAAAACCATCCGGACCTTTCATTGAACGTATTGATGAACCACTATGAAAATAATGTGTATAATGTGCACCAATACGTTGACATTGTGGTATCATTGTTGGTTGATGTTCATAACCATCTGCACAGATACATGTTTTATTTGTTGAACATATTGTAGGATAATTACATTCAAATGATGATAATGATGATGATGATGATGAACCATCAAAATCATCAACAAACTTATCACGTAATAATGAACGAATCGAACGATCAATATGATGATATTGTCGTCGATTGTTATTATCTAAATTTAATTGATTTTCATTATAAATTGGATTTGTTGTGCTTGTCAATTGTTCATGTTGTTCGTGTTGTTGTTCATGTTGTTGTTGTTGTTCGGATTGTTGTTGTTGTTGTTGTTGTAATGATTTTGTTACCAATTGTCGAACACGTCGATTCCGGAATCGTATGCTTCGTTTTGATGGATTTATATAATATGAATTTTTATCATTAATTATATTTGCTGAATTTATTTCATTTGTTATTGTAGCAAATGTTTGACATAAATGTCCATAAGTTTCAACATATTGACATTCTTCAGCTGTTTTATTATAATAAAAAAATTGACTACAATTACAGATATTATTTTCGCATACAAGATTGGCTATTTTATTACGACTTGTGCTTGCCAATGCTGAATGTGATGTAGTTATTGATGATGATGATGATGATGATAATGAATGTATATGTGATTGATGTGTATATCCGCCAGTACGATTTGATCGATGACCTCCGGATTCGATATGTTCAAGATCTTCATCAGCCATTTCACAATCCCATACATTTGAACACCAGCTGCCGATAATACTTCGAACACAGGCATTCAATCGTTCATCAAAACGATGTCCAATACGACAACGACATTCACCCATTGGCCATGAACTTTGTGATGGTCCAAAAAAGGCACTTGGATTTTCTTCACGATATTCTTCACGATAATTAAAACAACCAGAATTGTTAACTTTTCTTTCACATTGTTCAGTAGTATAACATGCTTCACCAATAAATGATGGTCGTAAACAATATAGATTGGCTATCTGTATTAGATAACCAGGACGACAAATACACATACCATCATTGTCACATAATGATCCATTTTCATCAAAACAACCGGATGGATAGATTTCATAGTTACACTTTTTATTTGGTACTAGATTTGCACCAAAACCAGCCGGTGGTGGATTTAATAAAATTTTCAAACGATTCTGTTGTCCACTAACAGCATTTGATGATGTATGTAATGGATAATAAGAATTTCCATTAGTTGAATATAAGGAAGACAATGAAGCCATTTTAGGTGGCTTTGATTTAATTATCATTAATGATGTTGCCGATGGTAATGATGATAATGATGATGATGATGATTGTGAATATGATGGCAACGATGGTGTTAAATGATTAATATTAAAAGATGATGTTGATGATGATAATTTTGATGGTGATGATGATGATGATGATGATGAATAAAGATGTGTTAATCGTCTTGATCGACGTCTTAACAATTTATTAGTAACTGCATGATTCCAATATGGATTATTATTACCATTAGATTTATTTATAAAAAATTGTCTTGATTCTCTTTTTTGTTTACGATTTGATTCATTTGAACGTATTTGAAAATGTTGTTGTTGTTGTTTTAGATTATTGGAATTTATATTAATCCGATTTCGTTTATTAACAATAACAACATTATTATTATTATTATTATTATTAATATCAACATTATCATCTTCATCATTATTATTATTATTATTATCATCATCATTATAGATGTTATTATCATTATTATTATTATTAGGCATTTTATTATGTTTATTGAAAGAACGATTGGTTTTCGAAATGGAATTTAAAGGCTTTATGATATTATTGGATGATGAAACAGAAATGATTGGCATATTATAATGAACATGATGAATATTTGACATTTTATATTCAATCATATTATGATGATGATCATTTATTGTTGATATTGATGATGATGATGATGTTGATAATGATTGTTGACCATTAGATGATGATGATGATGTTAATTGAATTGATTTATTACAATCAATATTATTATTGATGTTTGTATTTTCTGATATTGATTTTGATGATGATGATAATGATGATATTAATTGATGACCAAAACGATGATCATTATTAATCATTGATGATTGTTTTAGTGAATTTGGTGATAATGATGATGATAATGGTAATGGTAATTGTGTACTTGTATCTTGATTATGATTAATATTGGAAATTTTATACAAGCCGGAAGATGATGATGATGATGATGACGATGATGATGGAGATGATTCCGATGAAGCCATTACCAAATTGACCGATAAAAATGATGATGATAAAAAATTTGAAAAAAACATTGTAAATATAAATAAAAGAATCATTAAAGTTCTTGAAAAATGATAATGACCATCATTTAATGATGATTTTAATGATGATGATTTTTTCAAATTAGTTTCTGTTCTATAATGAATAATCAATTTATTATGATTATTATGATGATGATTTGAATTGATTTTATTATTTAATAATGAAAAATAATAACAACAACAACAACAATTCCGCCACCATAACCACCACCACCAACACCAATCAAATATTGATGATAATGATGATGATGATGGCTTTAGCCACCAATGATTATTGAATAATTTTTTAGACATTTTATTCAATATTCATATTTTTCTTCATTAAGGATTTCAAAAAAAACAAAACAATCGTGTTTTGACACTGTTTTCTATCTTTGTAGATTTGCATAATTTGTATAGAATTGAAAAAGGTGTTCAGGTGTTGAAAAATTATCTTATCAATGTTTTCGATGTTGTTGTACAATACAGAAGAAACAAAATGATAAAACACATAGATTAACAACAACAACAACAACTACTAATCATTGAAAATATCGGTCAATCAACTTGACCAACACCAATCAACACAAAAAACCATTAATGTAGATTTGTTTTTCAAAACACACTAGACACAAACAAAATTTGATTTTTCTGTTGATTAAATAAAAAATTTTTAAATAAATGAATCTTTGAAATTGAAAACACACAGGAAAAAAACCGGTTGATTTTTGGTTTGTCTATTTTAATCAATAGGGAAAGAAAATTTTTTTTTTTCAATTTTTCAATTCTTCATCATCATCATTGAATCTTGAAATATATTCTGATTTTTTTTTGTTTTTCTATTTTAGTTTAGTTGTTGGATCGGTCTGTAATACCAGCATTTATTTTTTTCTTCATTTGATCATAGCTTGATGTGTTGTAGCATAGAGAATATATTTGATTCAGAATTATTTTTTTTTTCATCATATAATCGTTGTGCTTGTGTATAGTGTGTGCGTGTAACTATCCTGATTCTTGTGAAGAAGAAGAAGAAACAAAACAAAAAAAAATGGGAAACAAAAAAAATCTAGTGATCATCACATTTTGTGATACGGTTATAATAATTTTTTTTTTTTGCTTTTTCTTGGTACCATTTTTTGCCAGTGGTAGTGGTTGGTTGTTTATATTTACTTTTTTGTTGTTTTTTGCAATATAATTCTTCTGGAACTTCTTTTTCCTGTCTTTCCTATTTTCTCTTATTTACTTTTTCGTTCTGGCAGCAATCAAATAATATATATGGACAACATGGAAGAGAAAAAAAAATACTATGGACCAAAATGAAGAGAATTCCCGAAAAAACTACGAATATTATAGAATAGTGGTAGAATAATAATAGTAGAGGAATATAGAATAACTAATCAACTATCTAAACCTATCAAAAAAATGAACTGATCGAAAAGAAGAAGAATTTCAGAATCACATAGAAAACCGTATTTCACAAACACACACACACACGCAAGAATCGTATTCGGTAGAATAGAATTGGTCTGTATATTTTTTTCGGTTATTCCAAATTTTCACAAATTTTTATTAGGAATTTTTTTTTCATCCCCTTCAAGTTCTTCATTTTTATTTATATATATAGTTTTGTGTATATATGTTTTCTACGTTTAGTTTTATATTGAAAAAATTTCTCTTTCTCTTTCCCGATTTACACTGACTTAACACTGTGTGTCTGCATTAAAAAAATTTTTTTTTCCAATGTACAAAATGAAAAGAATAAATATATATATGTTCACAATACAGACAACATAAACACCCAAAATAGACATAGAATGTTCCATTCTGGAACAATTTTTTTTTTGGATCGTTTTTAGTTTTTTTTTCTGGCTGCTGCTGCTTTCTTTTAACATCCAAGTATTAACATCATCGTCAACATCATCATCGGTCATGTCAGATAGGAAATTTTATTTTTAATCCTATGTGCTACTACTATAGTCAAAATGAAATGAAATTGCAAAATACGGTATTAAACCAAGAATTTTCATTTTCACTTTTTGATGTTTTTCTTCGTTTGCTTTTATTTTTTCTTCACATCATTATGGGCGAGAGAAAGAAAAAAGATATTGGGAGTGAATAAAGAAGTAAAGAAAAGATAAAAAAGAAAGAAAAGAAATTCTAATTTCAAATTCGAGTTCTGATTCTTTGATTTTTTTTCTCCAGTAGTCCCTTTTTTACTTACACGATATGCAATGAATGTATTTTTCGTCGTTACACTACTAAAAAAGATTAGAACCAAGAAGAATTAACGAGTAAGTAAGTAAGTAAGTGAGTGTTAGAGAGATAAATAGATAGATAGATAGCAAGATGGAGAATACTTTTATCCAAATTTGAATTCAAATATACAAAATAAAACAAACGGAAATGGATAAAATGACTATCCAGAAAAGAAAGAAACATATACCAGCCAGATAGATAAATGGAAAGAAAAGAAAGAAAAATATATCATGTGTGTGTGTGTGTGTGTGTCATTTTCTATATGTTTCACAAATATCAAAAACAACAACAACAACAACAAAAAAACGATAATGTTCATTTGAAAATAATGATAAAAATATCTATTGCTTCCTGGCTTTCTATTTTTTTTTCTATTTTTTTCATTTTCAATTTTGGCTTATTGATTCTTGTTGGTGTTGGAAAAAAAAAATTTGAGAAAAATATTTCTGAGAAAAACAACACTATAGGATTATTGTTTTTTTTTCGTTTTTCGTTTGGTTTATGATGACAAGTCTATAATTTAACGATTATTATTCCATTTCAGCCAATGTAAAGAAGAAGAAGAAGAAAAAAAAACTTGAAATATCATTGTCATTAAATTATCAACAACAACAACAACAACAACGTCGTCAACGATTCTTGATTCTTGATTCTTGATGATTTGTAACCCGAAAGACGAAGAAGAAGAAGAAGAAGAAAAACAAAAGTAAAAAGGAAAAAAAAATGAAATGAAAGTTTTTCATTTCATTTCATTTCATTCATTTCAGTCTGTTGTGTTTCCTTAATTCTTTGGTCGGTTGAATTTCTTATTCTTTTTCTTATTCTCTTTCTCATTGCTTTTTCACTATTTTGGCTTTTTGAATAAAAAAAAAAAATCTTTTCCTTTTTTATATTCGAGTTGTTGATAATGTTGTTGTTGTTGTTGTTGTTGTACACTTTATTCATCTTCTTCTTCTTTTTGTTGTTGTTGAATGTTTTGATATTCTTCTCTTTTTTTGTATCATTTCAAGAGCTTTTTTATTCCATCTTTTTATTATGATTAGTATTTGAGTGTTCCATGTAACTTCTCAACATTTTCATCATCATCATCATCATCATCATTTTCATTATTAGTATTATTCTACTTTACTTTACTCTACTTTCTATCAAAATTACAACACACAGAAAAAAAGAATGTAAAAAAAAGTAGAAGAAAATTTCCATTTGTTTATATTTGAATTGTTTATATTTTGAAAATGTTTTTTTGTTTCTCATTTTCCTTGTCATTGTCGTTGTGAAAATTATTATTATTATTATTATTATCCAATTATTCTCTCTCTCTCGCTATGAGAATAATTGGATACTAGTTTTAATGTGTTTCAAATTTTTTTTTTATAAATATTTTTCTCCATTTATTTATTTATTTATTTATTAAGCTAGGGATTTTCAATAGTTTTTTTACTTTTTCTCCCTTTGGATTATTATTTAGTTGCTGTTGGTTTTGTTGATCCATTACTGATGCTATAGGTGCCATAACCTCGACATTGTTTGACATACAGGGTGTTTTTTATTTGTTGTTGATCAGTTTCTGTTTTTGCTGCAAAAACACTCTGTAGATGGAAATTTTGTTCATCCAAAAACATATTTCCATATCCAGATTGCAAAGAGCAAGAGAGAGAGAGAGAGACAAACATCAGAAGAAAAAACAAAAACAAAAAAAAAACCCTAGAGGAATAAAATTGATTTTTTTTTCTTTTTTTTTGATTCGCTTTGATTCTTGAATGTTTGTAAACAGATGAAATGATGATGATGATGATTTTGTTTCCCATGATATTCTCGACAAAAAAAAATGAAAGAAAGAAAATTAAATTCAAAAAAAAAAACAAACTAGAAAAAAATCAATTGAATGTGGGAAAAAACAACAACCCAAAAATCATGATTGTTTTGAATTCTGTTTTTTTCCAAGTTATTCAAGTTTTGTTTCACACAAATATTTGATTTGAATGATTGAAA